ATCAGAGCTGGATCCAGTCCTAGTAGGGTTTCGTTAGAGCTGGATCCAAACAGAATTGGACTTCATTAAGGTTGGATCGAGTCTAGGAATCTATTGGAGCTGAACCCAGCCTTGATAGGACGCTAGTAGGACTGGATCGAGCCCTAGTGGGATTCAAGTTTCCGGCCAGATCGAGGCCTAATAGACTTGTATCATAGCTGTATCCAGCCTTTGCATGGGCATTCGAGCTGGATCGAGCTATCGTAAGATTATATCGAACCTGGATCCAGCTATAATAGGGTTACGTTAGAGTTGGATCGAGTCCTAGTAAGATGCTGTTACAGCTGGATCGAGACACCGTAGGCTTCTATTCGACTTGGGCACAGCCCTACCTGGACCGACGCTTAATCAGCTTTTGTTATAACTGGATAGAGTACGAGTCGTATTTCATTCCAGCTGGATCGAACCCTAGTAAGATGCCACTCGAATTGGATCAGGTCCGAACAGGATTTTGTTAGGGTCGGATCGAATCTGCATGGGATTTTACCAGAGTTGGGCGAGCTCCAACGCGATCCCTTCAGAACTGGACCCAGCCCTTGCAAGATTCCATGAGATCTGGAGCCAGCCCAACAGGTTCGGATATATTTCTACTAGCACCACACCAAGGCCCCAACAACATCCGAAAGACAAATGAAGGTTTCCGCGGCCAACCCCAGCCGGATCAGCGGGCACGTGGTCCAAACCTCCCCCCCACGAAATTCTAAACGGGCTTCCGCCTTTGGGTGGGCCTGGGGTGATCAAGGAGAGTTTTTTCAAGGAGAGTGGATGGAGCCTGTTTTGGGCGATTCTGCTCTTGGGACGTCCTCAAAATCTGGCTGGTTTGGCCCCTGTTTTGGTCTGGTTTGGCCGCGCGCCCCGCGTAAGATATCATCAAACTTTGCCTGGTTTACCCTCTGGTTTGGCCTGGTTTGGGCCCAGCTTCGATTGAGTCATCCTCAGAATTTGCTCGGTTTGACGTTATGAAAATGTGCCTGGCTTGTCCCTGGTTTGGCCTGGTTTGGCCCGCTTTCGCTTCAGAAGTCCTCCTAACTTTCTTGGCTTGGACTTGTTTTGGCCTGCCTTGGGCTCGGGTTCACTTGAGACCTCACAAGTTGCCTGATTTGGCCCTGGTCGATGTACGGTTGAGTAACATCCGTTGTGTGCGCCATGCGGTCTCAGCACACAGTGGGATGTGTCACTTTTTCGTCGACACAGAATGGATAGTTCACAGACATCGTGGTGGGCGTGTACAAACTTAAGTAATGACACGGCGTCATGAACGCACAGTGTGGTCCACACGTAGCTCGAGTACGTTACAAAAGGCTGGCGTCATGGGCGTGGACATTCCCAATACGCTGTGAATCGACATGGGCAGGGTGTGACGGCGTTGGGAGAAAGCCTTCCCGAGGCAGCAGTAGGATTATGTTAGAGTTGTGTCGAGTCCTGATAGGATTTCATTCGAGCCGCATCGAGCCCTATTGAGATTCTCTTCGAGTTGGATCGAGAATGTTGTTGTCGTATTCGTCGGTCGTCGTCTTCCGTGGCCGTCGTCATCGTCGTACACCTGACTTCGTCGTCGTCGTCGATTACCGTCGCCGTAGTCATCCGTCGTCTGTCCTCCGTCGTCCGCGTCGTTGCAGTCGTCGGTATCCGTCCTTCGTCGTTCGTAGTCTGTCATCCGTTGTCTTCGTCGTTGTTGTTGCCGTCGTCGTACGTAGTCGTCGGCGGCGCCCGTCGTCGTCCTTGGCCGTTGTCGTCGTGTATCGGTTGTCGTCGTCGTCATGCGCCGTCATCGCCATCGTCGTCCGTCCTGCGTCGTCACAGTCGTCGTGCGTCGTTCGTCGTCTCTCGTCTGGTGTCCTTGGTCCGTCGTCGTCGTTGTCGTCGTCGCCGTTATCGTTGTCGTTGTCGTTGTCGTTGTCGTTGGACATTTCTATAGAAGAGATATTGGTGATCTCGAGAAGCGCGGTTCGCGCGCTCTCGCCTCGACGCCGGCTACATTTTCTGTGAGTACAAGGCTCCCGCTCGAGTCGGGGGTCTTGGGTGTAAATGTGGGCTCTTGAGGCCCAGCTACGACGACAACGGTTCCCGCTCGATATTTCCTCGCAATTCATTCCGAGACGCCCTGGCCAGAGAGGCTCCCAAACTCAGGAACGTTTCTTCACAATTCATTCAAGTTGGTGGAGGCCCAGCTACGACGACAACGTTTTCGCTCAAGACGTCCTCGCAATTCATCCAAGCTAGCAGAGGCCCAGCAGCTACGACGACAACGGCTCCCGCCCGATATTGGTTTTTAGTGTATTCCGAGACGCCCTGGCCAGAGAGGCCCCTAAATTCAGAAACGGCGCTCTCACTCGAGACGTCCTCCCAATTGATTCATTCAAGTTAGTAAAGGCCCCGCTACGACGACAGCGGCTCCCGCTCGATCTTTTTTTTACTCCGAGACGCCCTGGCCAGAGAGGCCTCCAAATTCAGAAACGGCGCTCTCGCTCGAGACGTCCTCGCAATATCACTCAGGCGGTGGAGGCCCAGCTGCGACGACAACGGCTCCCACTCGATACTTCCTCACAATTTACTCCGAGACGCCCAGGCCAGACAGGCCACTAAATTCAGGAACGGCGCTTTCGCTCGAGACATCTTCGCAATTCGCTCCAAATGGAGAAAGGCCAGCTACGACGACAACGGCTCCCGCTCGATATTTCCTCGCAATGTACTTCCAGGCGCCCTGGACAGAGAGGCCTCCAAATTCAGGAATGGCTCCCTCGTTCGAGACATCCCTATACTTCGGCTTAATGTGTGACGGCTCCCGGTCGATACGACCTACTACCTCGCAGTTTCCTTCCAGGCGCCCTGGCCAGAAAGGCCTCCCAATTCAGAAACAGCGCTCTCCGTAGCCGTTTTGGCTCAAGCCATTTTGGTTCAAGGGGTTGGCCCAAGCGTCCTGAGGGTAGTCCTCACACTCGTTCCTAGTCGTGCGCCAGAGCACGCGGTCTACGGATCCTGCCTCACGATCAGCCTGCTGCCATGGGGAACATGGGGAAGCGGCGCGCTGACCGTCGGGGTGAGGGCCGTTCGTCATCGGCTTCCTCGGACCGCCCTAGGCGGAGTGCCAGCAGGACCCCCGATGCACGCCGTGCCGAGAGAGACGACCACACGAAGATAGTGTCCCAGCTTGACACCATAGCCTTCAGCATCGCCGACGTGAATCAGGTTGTTACGCAGAACATTTCTGAGCTCTCCGAGCTCCGAGGTGCCGTCCAGAATAGTTTCAAGAAGTGCGGGGAGCTTGCCGACCAGATGAGGCTTCTCTCCCGCGACGTTCAGCAGAAGCACCAGCAGATTAGCGAGGACCTCGAGGCGAAGATGGCCGCCCTCCGCGCCGAGTTCATCAGCGCCCGAGTTAATGCCGACAGTGAAATGCCATCCTCCACCCTTGACGAGAAGTGCCAGCAGATCGAGAAGCAGATCCAGGACCTTGAGGAACGGCAGAAGATCTCGGAGGCCCGTCTCTGCGAATCCCTTTCGACCCCTACGCCCACCACACCTACATCGTCTGCTGCTTCGAGTGCCAGTCGGAACCCGAGGAGTGGAACATCTGACCAACCACAGCAGGACACATGTAAACTTGTCCTTTTAGGCTTTCCTCGCCCACTGCTTGTCAAAGATTTGCGGGAGATCGGCAACGCATTTATCAAGGCATTTTCGCCTGCGACGGACCACTCTCGCATTTTTGCCCGCGGCTTTGGCTTATCAAAGAAAGTGACGCTCATGTTCGTTTCTAGACAACTTCGTCAAGGCAGGCGGCCCTTGGAATGTGGCCGACCCTGCAACTGGCGCCCCCCCCTCGCGCTGCGCCTCAGGCGGGACCTCTCCCCTGTCTCCCGCCAGCTATTTCTATCGCCAGGCCAAATGCGCTCTGCCTTGACCGCCCCCCTCGCCCCGAAGGGGGTCGAAGTGGGGAGTGCAGGGCTGGGGGGGGGGCTCGATCTTCTTCATGCGCCGTGCACGCGAGCCAGTCTCTGCCGTGAAAGTCACTGTTTCAGGTGAATCTAATATCGAGATTCGGTGTGACCGAGGCATCTTCCTCGAATTTGAGATTGCCGATCACACTGAGGCCATCGACGCCGCAGGTGCCGTCTTGCTTCGGCGGCCCGTTTAGCTCCGAGGAGGACCGTATTCCATCACAGGTATTTTCCCCCCCTTCCTCCTGCCTCTTCCTGCCCCCCATCTTCCTTCTCCCTCTGTACCTGGGACGCCGAAGCCTTGTTCGCCGCTGTGAGATCTTCCTCTTGGAGAGCCCGAGACAGATATCGCAGATACCTTAAATTATGCCAACCACACAATATCATTACCGCACAGGAAACACACGGACACGCTGGGGATATTACCGAGCTTCAGCACCAGTTGCCTGGCTTCCAGTTCGGGCACTCGGCCTTTGGAGACTCTGCCCGTGAAGGTGGCGTCGCCTCCGCTTTCAGCCTTACTATGTCCGCTCTCTCCTCCTCCATCTCCCATTCGGTCATGGTCACGGGGGGGGGGGGGGGGTGATCAAGAGCATATTGGGGATCACGTGAATTTGATTGTACAATCTCCACCTCCCGAATACGTCCGACTCTGCGGCGCTCTTCTCTGGAGTTCTTTCTCTGCTACAGCGTGATGTTCTGTTGCACCAAGGAGATGGCGCTGAATGAGGAGCTCATATTTCTCTCATGGGGGACTGGAACTTTGTCCTGGAGGAGGAGGGGAGACCCGCGGGGGGCGGGGGTGGGCTCTCTGCTGGCGACCTGGGGCACTCGCGCAGCTTTCGCCGCCTCTTTCCTCACTTTACGGAGTTCTTTCAAGCCGCCGATACTCGAAGGGGGAAAAGAGGTAAGGCCGTGGCTTCCACATCCCGAATTGACCGCATTTCTACATCCTCACCTGCCGCTCTGATTCGCGACGTCACCATCTCCACCTCCGCCATCGGTACTTTGAAAGCCGTGATGAGCAGTGACCACATCCCCGTGCGTTCGACTGTCACGAAGTTCTCGCCCGACTCCAGGCACCCCTGCATCCTGCCCTGGGTCGCTGCCATGCCTGAGTTCACCCTGGCGCTTGAGGAAGCCCTGTCCTCCATCTCGCCAGACTGGGGCGATCGGGCTCGCCTCGACACTGCCAAGTCGCTGACGTTTGAAGCGGGCCGCACGGCAAGGAATGCGCTCCGCAGACGGCTTGCCCGCGCGAAGCAAGAAAAGCATTACTGGGCCCTCTTCGCCATGCGCGCCGTACTTCGCGGTGATGTTGAGGGCGTCCGCCTCCTCCTTGGCTGCCACCCCCGCTTGCGGCCCCACTTCGACGAGTCCGATCGACGCATCCACTTCGAAGTCAAGCCCTTTTGCACTTCTTTCGCATTTACCGCCAAGTCTTAGAGGAGGAAGGGGGGGAGATTAGGCTCATTCGAACCGACGAGGAGACCAAACGATCGATGCAAGCTCGTCTTCGACGTCGAAAACAGCTGTGGCAAAAATTCCGACGGCGGGCGGTCCTGGGGAACTTGGTCCTGGGGGACGGGAGTCGCTCTACCTCCGACGCGGGAACCGCCGAGGCGCTGGCGTCCTTTTGGGAGAAGAAATTTGCTGCGCCTGAGATTGACAGATCCAAGTGGCAGGAGATTGCCGAGCACATCCGCACGCTGCGAGAACCCATCGCTCAAGAGCGATGTCTGCCCTACGAGTCCTGGTACCAGCTGGTTCTCTCGCGAGGGCAGAGCACCCCTGGTCCTGAGGGACTGTCATATGCTGTGTGGAAGAACCCGCCTGCCGCCCGCATCCTCCTCTCCTGTTACCTCACCCTCTTCAATGGCAACATCACCTCCCTCCCTACCGACATGCTCAGCAGTGTACTCGTCTTCTTGCCGAAGGGAGTGCTTCAGGATGACCTCCCAGGGCAGCCGCTCAATCGCCTTGCATCGGCCACGAGACCGATCTGTCTTGGCCATACTGATGTGAAGATCACGGCCGCTGCCTGTAGTGCGCCCATTGCGGCGAATGTTTCTGATTTGATTGGGGAGGAGCAGAAGTGCGCGGGGGGGGGGACCTGATAGAGAACGTGGTGAGAGCTGAGGCCTGGGGGATTGAGAGGTACCTGAAGGCCGAGGAGGACGCAGCGTTGCTCCTCACCGATGTTGCTTCTGCTTGCCCGAGTTTGGCGCAGCCCTGGCTCTTTTTCGTCCTGCAGGCAATGGGCATCTCTTCTCACCTCATGAATTTCTTCCGAATGATGCACACCGACAACATTGCAATTATCTCGCTCCGTGGGCAAAGACCTATGAGTATCAAAATCTCATATGGAGTGAAACAGGGGCGCCCTGCCTCGATGCTTTTGTTCGTGCTCGCTGTGAGGCCCGATCCTAGCCTGGATTCGTGACAAGCATGGGCCCCCCCTCGGCCTTACGCTCGCCTATGTGGACGACTTTGGCTTTGGAGTTGAGAGGGCCACCCAGGGGCTGAAGGAGCTGCTTGACTCCCTCGGCGAGCTGGGGCCGATTGCCAATCTCAAGCTGAACTGTCGCAAGTGCCAAGTCGTGGTGTGTGGGGCGCTGGGCGCTTCCCCGCTACGTGCCCTACTCGACTCGTACGGTGCGCCCTACAGCCAGATTCAGGTCCTCCTCTCGGCCACCTACCTGGGGTTCCCGATCGGCCCCGATGGCCCCCAACAGGTTTGGCCCCCCATACTTCCCAGCTTCGTCGAGAGGGTGCACCAGACGAGGGTCATGGGCCTAGGTATCGCTCAATCGGCCGCTGCTGTTCGAGTTATGTGCGTGAGCAAACTTCTCTTTCGGCTGCAACTTTATCCGCCGTCGCAGGAGCTGAGGAAGGCTGACCTCAACAGCGCCCTGCTCTTGACCTCAGGGCCGCGGAACGCGATCTCCTACCACGTCGCCACGAAGCTTTCGCAAGCCGGGTTCGCCTCGGAATTTGTCGAGTTGGATGTTGTTGCCAAGGCGACGGCCCTTCGTTACCTGATGCGGTCTGGGTGGCTGTTTGGGCTCCTGGACTCTTTGGAACGTTCTCGGATGGACCTGGAGCGCATCCCCTTTCGGTGGCACAAAGGTTGGCATGCTCATGGGTTATTCAGTTACCTTCGGTCCCTTCGGGAATGGTACTGCGGGCTGTCTCTGGAGATCTCCCCCGACACCAACAAGCTCCAACATAAGTTATACAAAGCGTTTCGGGAAATCGAGAAGAGTGAATCCATCGTCTCGATCCTTCCTCGCCGTGCCCACCACTTCTGCCCCGAGGTTACCATTGAGCACACCGATACCCTCAAACACAACGTTCGCAGAGTATGCGCTGCTACCAGTATGTATTTGGCTATCGCCCCATTTCGTATGCTGACGGGTTCCATTTGTACGAGCTCGCGTTTTCATTATTCACCTCGTGGCTGTTTGTTTGAATGCGTCTGCCCCAATGGTCTGGACACCGCCTCCCTCCGACACTACTCGGCATGCCCTGGCCTCGAGGCTCTTCTCAGAAGGTGGATGGGGCGGGACCTCGAGGTCCCTCAAAGTGAGCGTTCATTTCATTGGTTTCCCTCTTGCCTCCTCCTTGCGTTTGATTATGTGTCCAGGGTCTTCCAAAGAGCTGCGTGCATAGATGCGTTCATCACCGCCTTGAATGCCCGTCGTCTCGGGCGTTCTGCCCCGGCGGAGCTTGTCTTTGAGGCGAGGCTTCGTGTCACGGCCCGCAGGCACCCCAGGCTCGCCGAGGTCTGGTGCGACTCACGTGCTTGGGCCTCTCGACAGATGGCGAGGGTGGGGGCTCCGCGTGGTGGAGCGCTGCCGCCGCGGATGCCTGGCACGCCGCGCGGCAGGTGGGAGCTCCCCTCGGACAGTGGGCCCCCCCCTCGCCACGGCCGAGTTCGGACTGCTCGACCAAGGAGTCGACCGCCTTCAACGGGGACCCCCAGGAGCCTCCAGAGCCCCGATGGGTAAAAAAATCAGGAACAGCGCTCTCGTTCGAGACATCTCTGCATTTCGCCCCAATTTATCAAAGAACAGACACGACAACACATACTTGTCCCTCCCTCTTGTCATTCCTCTCCTCCCTTCCTTCTCTTGTTTTAGGGGGTGCGCCAACTACACGCGGCAGGTAGGGAAGGTATACCCCCAAGTTGTGGCACAGTCGATGACGAAGAGGGCGGGTATCGAGGGTTTGGGATACACGCGTTGAATGGCACGCGAACCGATAAGAGCAAACAGTCTGAAAATGATCGTTGTCTTTGTCGTTGTCATTGTCGTCACCGCCGCCTCTGACGTTGTCGCCGTCGTCGTCGACGTCTTCGTCGTCATAAGCGTTATTTGCCAGCTGCGCGTAGGGGATGAAGGGGGCGGGGGCCCCACTTCGAACCCCCCCCCCCCGTTGGAGAAGGGGGGGAGCCCGGCTCGAACCCCCTTCGCCTCCTTGGAGGGAGGGGGGACCCTCCCCGGTTAGAGAGGCCAGTGTCCGGAGGTGGGGGGCGGGGAGGGGCGGTTCTACGGGCGCGCCGAATGTCTGTTGGTTTCGTTTTGTGGGGGTGGCGGTTCCGACGTGCCGCGGGAAGCTCACCAAGAAGGCGTCCACGAAACGTTTTCTCTCTCCCTCTCTCTCTCTCTCTCTCCCTCTCTCTCTTATCTGCGTGCGTACATTCATCCTGTCGAGCGATGGGCGTTTCGGGAGGCCGAGCACGGCCGGAGATGCGCCGCTCTCCGTGCGAGAGGTGTGCCCGGAGCGCCCCAGGAGCTGGCACAGAGATTGTGGAGTTCGCGCTACGGTAGGGTTGCGTCGTGTCGACCAGCGGCGACCCCAGCGCCGGCGTTCAATTAGGAAGACACCAACTATACATACATCAACACCGATCCTGGCCAGGATCCTCAGGATCGGTGTTGGTGTATAGTTGGTGCCCTCCGATTCAAGGTTGAACGCCGCCGGCGACCCAGAATCGATCGATGTTGAACGATCGGACGTTGCGGCAGCGGCCGATCGTTCCAGGTTGAACGATCCCTGCGGTGTCAAAAGCCAACGCTGGGGTCGGCACGACACGAACCTGCCGTACCCATCTTCCTGAAAAGCGAACCTGCTGCACACGAACTGGGCTCCCGCGTTCTCTGACCTCTCTTCGTCACCACCGCCTCTTCTGGCAGTCCAGGTTCCCATCATTGGGATCCGCAGCGTCCAAACTTTCAGTCGGGCCCGTCCTTCTACATGGGGGAATAGTTAAGAATAGTCAAAAAATTGTCTGGGGACGATGTTTGATTATTTTTGATACGTTTTGATTACCTTTATCCTTCGCACAAAATCAGCCTGTCGGAGGACATGCCCGACCTAATCCAAACTACGCCGTGGTGATGTTAGGCGCCAGGCGCGTCAAAACGTTGGGCTACCGCCTGTGAGGTATGCCGAGGCATGCCGTATAGCACGGGACACCGCACATCGGCACGTCACGCCAGCTTGCTCGAGGCTCGCGAGCCGCCCCGCGACAGTAGGCCCGATGGCGTCCTCCAGCACTGGCGCTGGAAGCAGGGGGCGCGTTTTTCCCTCGTTTGCGGCGGCCGCCAGCGAGCCGCTGACGAGAGAAGCCAGCCCTGGACGGGTCTCGGCGTATTCCATTGGGTCACTCGCGGCCTCCGACCAGGCGACATTCATTGACCAGGTCGCAGGGGGCACCCACTGCGCGGCCGACACCGGACGCGGCCAGGCCTATCCCGGGCCCCGAACCCAGGGGGGCTCCTCCTCATCCCCCCTCCTGGCTCCGCCGGGAGGAGTGGTGTAGGCCCCTGACCCCCGACAGTGGGCCTGGGACGGGCCTGGCTGGCCGGACCGAGGGCCGCAGCGCCGTTGGAGCCGCCCCTGCGAGGTCGAGGAGTCGTCTGCAGATGGCCTCGGCTCCCCCGCGGTTGCGGTCGGGACCAGACGGTCGTCCAGGGAGGTGTCGCACAAGTCGCACCACCACCACGGCCCGCTCTACCCAGAGAAGGCGCTCGCCGTTGGGGGCCTCAGCTTCGCCCCGGTGTACACCGAGATGGAGAACGCCGAGCGCACAGTTGAGTCAGAGAGGAAGTGGCCGTCGCGCATCATGTCTGTCACGCTGCAGCTGCTCACTGGCGTGCTCACTGGCGTCGCGGCCTTCATCGTCTCCAGGCTCCCGGCAACTAGGGGACCGCACAGAGCGCGTCCATCCGGCAGAGGCGGCATGCATATGCTGTCTGAGCCTCCGTATGTTGTCCCGGGGGGTCAGCTTGGGGCAAGGGGCTCAAAATGTCGGGTCGAGTTCCCCCTCCTCTAGCCATCTTGGAGCCCAAGAGGGCCCCGAGACTGCCGAGAGAGACCGACGAAGGCACCGGACCGCCCAAGACCGGCAGAAGATTGACCGGAATGCCCCCAACATGCCCCAAGATGCACCCAAGAGGCCCCCACGAAACCCCCAAGGTATCCACGAGAAGCCTCCCAAAGGCTCCCAGGAGTCCCAAAACGTCCACACTCTGCGCAGTCTGGGCGTGCACCCCGCGAAGCGAGAGGGAAACTCAACACAGAGGACTCGAAGGGACCCGATGACACTCCACTTCGTGCCTCGGGGCGCCGTGGCGGCTTAGACGAGAGCAGGAGCAGGGGCATGAGGGCAGGAGGAGGAGGAGGAGGAGGAGCCTGGAGGAGAGAGCCTCGAGGTTCAGCGACTACTTGAGCAGCGCGCGCCTGGGCCTTGCCCTGAAGCTGCTCAGGGGGGGCGCGGTCTTGGAGGCCTGGCTGACGGCTGCGGGCGTCATGGTGGCCTTGGTCCTCGCCGGGGCGATGCCCGTCATCCTGTGGGTCAGGCTCGCACACGGGGGCGCCTTCCTTGACGCTGCCTGGGGGGCACGGTTTTTTCGGGCGTTCCGGGCGGCCAGGGTGACATCTCGTTCCCCAGGAGTGCAGGCCTAGGTCTCTGGGAGATCCACGCCTGGACCCAGCGCGCGCGCGAGAGCCCCAGGAATGGAGATCCAGGCTTGCCGGGGGCCTGGGGCGAACCGCGTCCAGAAAGTCCGAAAGCCTTGCTCTGCAGCAGCGCAGGCTCGCCTTGACGAGACCCTGGGCACAGCATGCTCTGTGCCATGTCTTCCCCAGCCGTGCTTGCACTGGGGTTCTTCCTCTGCTCCCCCGGCGGTGCTTGCAGAATCACGGGCTGCAACTTGCGTCCGAGGTCACTGGCTGGCGCTGCCGGGTTTTCGCCCCGTGCCCGCCGCCTCGTGTCAGCCACGCGCAGAAGGGGGACAGGGGAGAGGGGGAGGCTTCTTAGAAGCACCCCTGCTTCTTGAAAGGCGCTGGCTCTTTCTAAAGATACGAGGCCTCCGCCTTCTAAGAAGCAGCCTCCTTCCAAGAAGCCTTCCCCCTACCCCTTACCTCCTCGTGCTCGCCGCCAAGGAACTGGCTGGCGTTGCCGGGTTTTCGCCTCGTGCGCGGGCTGGCGCACGCACCTCCTAGAGAGCAGCACGTAGCCATCGGTCGTTGAAAGTAGGTATTTGGGGATTCCCCGATTCCAATCTAATTTGAGTGCCTTCCTACTTGAAGAGTCGAGTGGTATTCACTCTTTCCTCCGTAGGGGGCGGACGGAACCCAATCTAATTTCAACGCCTTCCTACTTCATGTTTATACCTTCCTTTTACGACCGATGGGTAGCCTGCAAGCCTCAGACTGCGAGACATGGCGTGCATCGCATGTCTTGTCAAAGGAAGAGTTAGACTCTACCACCCACCCACCCTGAGTTATCGCTTCTCCGTGGGATATTCCAATATATCCATGATTATGCATCATCGTTTCTTCCCAACGTGAAGCTATATCATCCCAGCCTAGCCCGTATCGGATCCCACCGGCACCCTTGTCAAATGATACAACCCGCGCGCTCAATTCAGCTCAAACAACTTTGTTCACGAGCCCAATGCAAAAAATGCGAAGACCACACGCGCGCACATGTCGAAATCAAGCCAACACACAACACATCGGCAAGAAATTCGGCATGCATGCATACATACATAAAAGCATCGAAAACCCATAGGGTGTTCATCACACGTGGTGCAGAGTTTCTGCGCGCACTTGCTGAAATCAGCTGGCAGCTACATGGCTTGAGCAGACTCGTCCAGAACCCGCATTCGAATCCCACGACGCAGTGCACCTGCGTTGATCTAGCGTGCGCCCAATGCACGAAGCTCGTATCAGATCATACCATGCGGACCAAATGCGCGCGCCGACGCGCGCGTGTCGAATTCCGCCAAAAAACTAATGGTGTGCTCTAAGCATTTCAAGGTCGAGCATTTCAAATTGTTGATACACAGCAAATCGACCAAATTTCCGGCATCTCTGCGGGCGCGAATTTTCCCATCACCCTCATCAGCGCCACCGCATCACCGCCGTTATCATCAATACCCAGCATTGCCGCCATTATCAGCACAATCGCCGTCATCATCGACACGTGGATATCACCATCGTCATCGTCGTCGCCAGCATCGGCGCCGTCATTGGCCTTGCCGTCGTCATCGTCACCATCGCCACCACCATCGTTATTATCATCATCGTTGCCGCCGTTGTCGATGTCATCGTGATATCGGGTCCACCCGAGTCACCGACCCGCATTGAACTGCCCGCGCGCCAGTGCGGCCTTCGAGACGCGCTGGGAGGTCCCCATCGATGCGCCCGCGCGCCAGCGCGGCGTTTGAGAAGCGCCAGGAAGTGCATATCGGTAAGCGCCATCGCGGCCGCACCAGCTGTGCCAAGCCAACTGGTCGCTCTGAGCGCGAGCGCGCGCCCACGCGCCAGCGCGGCCGTAGAGACGCGCTGACAAGTTACAATGGGGAGCCGCAACCGCGGCCGGAAGTGGGCGTGGGGGATTTTGCACGAGCAGCAGGGTGGACGATTTCAAGACGGTCGACGCTAGTTCTCTGGTTAAAACAATAGGAGGACTTCCTCCCCTCCCGAGCCCAGACTTTTCTGCGCCCCTGCGCGTACTGCGTTTTGTATCGCATTCGACCTCACCAGTCATTTCATAGATTCAATCGTACCATCCAAGCCCAGCCGGTACCGCCCCCGCCCCACCCCATCCCTAACACCATGCGCGCACCTGCGCTTACCTCAATCATTGTCCAAGAGCCCCTTGCCCAACACAAAAAATATAAAAACACCCGCGCACCATGTCGAATCCATGCCAACACACATCAATTCTGGAAGAATGTCAGCATACAGACTTAACAAACATATGGTCCCATCAATAGTATTCATGGTGTTCTGCCCACGCGCTTGCTGAAATCACGGGGCAATCTCGTCCAGAACTTGCGTTCTCATCCCACCACGCAGTGCACCCGCGTTGATCCAGCATGCGCCCAGTGCACGAATCCGTGCCAAATAACACAAGGCAGAACACACGCGCGCAACGGCCACTCGCACAAGTCCGACATTCTTACGAAACCATTGGTGATGTAAGCATTTCAAGATAAAGCTCGTCAAAAACAACCGAAACCAAACAACTGCTTGTAAACAACAATGTTCCAGAGTTCTTGAAGTTCTGCGTGTGCGCACCTCCTCACTTCCTCAATCAGCCGCCGTCGCATCATCGCCGTTATCGTCATCGTCAATCGCCGCCAGTGCCGCCATCGTCAGCACACTGGCCTTTATCACCGACGCATGGACATCACAATCGTCATCGTCGTCACCAGCATCAGCGCCGTCATTGGCCTTGCCGCCGTCATCGTCACCATCGCCACAACCGTCGTTAGTTTCACCATCGTTGCCGCCATTGCCGACGTCATCATGGTATCGCGCCCGCCCGAGTCATCGACCCGCATTGAATTGCCCGCGGTTTGCACGAGCAGCGGGGTGGACGATGTCAATGCCTTCGTATATACATGTACCCAATCCGTTGTCCTCACAAACGTCTTGTTTTCCGAAGATTATCAGGCTCTGTTCCCATGCCGAGGACTGATTCAACCATGTGTGGTGTTCCGTGTTGCGTTCTCATACTAGCAAGCCACGACCGTTCATGCAAGACACAAGTTGAACGATAGCACGCCCAGCTGACAAGAATTGACACCCCCGCCATCCGTTGCAACAGATGCTCTGTGGTGTACATACGGTGATCCAACAAGTGCGCGCTGTGAGAGTCCTTCTCAGGGGTAACATGTGGGCCACACGTGCGCACGCGTCGAAGCCCGTGTCGGGCCATTGGTTCCGCACGGCTTGCGAACGACATCTGTCAGAGCAACTGCGCTAGCAAGAAGGAACGGCAAATTTCTGCGCTCGAACTCGCTGAAAGACTGGTGCAATCGTGCGCGGCTGCCGCTGTGTCAAGCGAAACAACACGGGCGCGCGCGCACGCCGAAGTCCTTCAACGGCCATCGCACGCCCGCCGAGACTTGGCAACACACCGTGCGGGCCACGCGCGCGCGTCCCCGCGCGCACGCGCCGACATCGTTGCAGAACCCGTGTCTGCGTTGTCCGTCGCATTCTCACGGACATGATCATGAGTATGGTCAGACGTGCGCCTATAGGTACGAGGAGTGCCGAAAAGGGCCTTGCCCTCGAGGACCCAAGGAGTCGTCGCCTCCTCCTCGGCGGAAGGTCGGCGGAAGTAAGACGAGGCGGCCTCCGCCGGCGGAAGGCCGGCGGAAGGCAGCGGAAGTAAAAGGTGCGCCCCCAAGAGATGAAAACGTTTTTGGGTTCAGGGTTTGTCGATCCGGCCGAATCTATAGATCTCTGGAAGGTAGTTGATCCTCAGTGAAGAATCGGTCAGGGTTGTTGTGCACGTGCATGTTCTCATCATCCTCGTCAGCACCATCGTCATCATCGCTGGCGTCATCACTGCTAGCATCAACGTTTGCACCATCCACGTCATCACCATCGTCGCCAGCGGCACTGCAGTCGTTGTCGTCGTCGCCGATGGCGTTATCAACATCAGCAACCGCCCGAGCAGGGTCCGCGCGCCATTGCGCCAGTTGAGACCTGCGAGCAAGTTCCGATGCGTAGTGCCACTCGCTCCTCCTGAGGTTTGCGAACCAGTTGCGGGCGGGTGGGTGAGATGCTTGCTCGAGCATGGGAGGCAGTCACGCGCCGATGCTCACAGCTGACTACGCCCCATGACTTGCACCATGTAGCTTGCACCACATCGATTGTAATTGCGCCACACAGATTGCATCCCAAGTGCTGCAACGCCTATGTACTGGGTCCCATATCGTACACGTCCAGGCTGCATCAACGCAGTGTTTGAGGTCCACGCTGGCAAACATTGTTTCTTATGTTTTACAAGTTCGGGGGACGCCGTCTGAACCCAGCGCGCGCACGCGCCTGCAGGGATGTGCTTCCAGGGTGGGAGACCACGCCAGCGGTCTTCGAGGCGAGCCAAGTTAGCCTCCGGTGCCAGGAGCGCTGGGTCTTCCGGCATTCCATCCATTATCGGTGTGCTGAACGGTTGCGATTTGCGCGACCACTTCACTTGGAGGATCTTGCTGGCCCGGCTGGTCGGCGTCACGTGTGCGGTGTCTTCTGGGCTCGCTGTTGGCCCGGAGGGGCCGATGATCTACATTGGTGCCTGCACGGGAGCCCTGCTCTCGAGGATCCCCTCGCAGCGAGGGCTGTGGCGCTACCTCGGGAGGCTGCCGAGCTCGAAGAACGAACACGTGTATTTGCGGGACTACGTCTCGACTGGAGCGGCCTGCGGCATCGCAGCGGCGTTCCGTGCGCCGATAGCGGGCGCGCTGTTCATCGTGGAGGAGGCTGCCTCGCACTTTCGGCCTGAGCAGCTCGCGAAGATGTTCGCCAGCGGGGTAGCCGCAATGGTCGTTGCTGGTCTGCTATGCCAAGGGACCGGAATGACGGGGATGTTCGCGTACGACGTCGGCTCTGGGTTCGTGTGCCGCACGTGGGATTGGATGCGGATCGTTGATTTCCTTTTCTTCGCCGTCCTTGGGGTTGTGTGCGGGCTGGCGGGGGCGCTGTTCAACGCGCTCAACGTGGGTGCCGCGAAGTTCCGCGCGCGGCACATCGGGCCGTCCGCGCCGCTGCGCCGCACCGTGGAGCTCGTGCTCCTGTGCGTGGCGTCGTCGACCTGCTGGGTGCTGGCGCCCCTCATCTGGGAGGACCCGGCCACGCGCAGAGGGGGGGTAGGGGGAGGGGGGAAGGCTTCCTGGAATCAGGCGATCGCAGCCACGGATTGAGGGGGCGTGGATTGGCCACGGGTCCCGTTTTCACGGGAAATCGCGATTTCCGCCGCCGAGCGAGGCGGCACCGGCCGCATTTTGGGGAGGGCACCTCCCCCGATCCATGGATTTGGCGACCGCGCGCCAGATCCATGGATCGCGAATCCGTGTTGTCGCGCCCCCGATGGAGGCACCCTGATGCTCACCCCCACTGCCCCCTCCTGCGCGCCGCCAGAGGACAGGACGACGGCGGACCCCCACATCTTCGCCCGCGCTACGCGCTGCATCGAGGACACCTGGGTCCCAGAGGTCGAGGGGCCCCGAAGGCACGGCAGGCATCCCGGCGATGGCCCCCTCTCCTCGGGAGCGGCCTCGCCGGAGCCCACCGCGCTGTGCTGTGTTGTCAAAAGTGGGGCGGCGATCCTCGGCCTCTGTGCGGCCCAGTATTTCGGGCAACGAGGTGGCGGTTGGCTTGTTCGCCGAGGATGCCATTGGCGACGGCGGTGCAGATGATTAGCCGTGTGCTGCATCCAGTCAACCATCTCGTTGGCATGGGGCGCCAGCGGCAACTCGCATGACTGGCCCGCGTCGGGGTGGGGGGGGCAGGGGGGGGGGGCCGATGGGGCGGGGCGGCTGGATGGCGGCACCTCGACGACGGCAGGCATCCCGGCGACGGCCCCCTCTCCTCGGGCGTGGCCCCGCCAGCGCCCACCGCCCGGTTCTGCCTTGTCAGGGCGGGGTGAGGGGGGGGGGGCCGGTGGGGCGGGCCGGCCGGGTGGCGGCACCTCTCGCCGAGGGCAGAGGCGGAGGCCACCCCTGCCTGGCGCACACCGGGCAGGACGGACGGCTGCAGAGGGGGCCGGGCGGCCTCGCGTGCCGGGCCGCGCGTCCAAGAAGATCGATGCGGCCCCACCCCAGAAGGCAGCCAGGCCGAACGAAAGGGGGGGAGTAGGGAAAGGGGGGGTGACGGAATCTGCTGCATGCAGCTGGTTTCGGCCCCGCCGCCCGGCCCATTCCTCGATTTACAGGGGCGCCTCCCGGCGCCGGGAGGCGCCGGGAAAATCAACTGCGTGAGCTGATTCTCAACCCCCCCCTTGTGCTACTCCCCCCCTGTCGCCCGGCCCGAGGCAAGCCTCCAGGGGGGGGGGATGGGGGCGGTCGTCGCGGCTTTGGCACAGAAGGTTGCCCTGACCCACCCGATGTGGCTCGACTGCTTGTCGTCGGTGGTTCACAGGTGGGGTCCTGAGGGATGGGGACCTGCGGGTAGGCAGGGATCTGAGGGTGGATGTACGTTGTTTAAGGCGCCTCGTCCTTAGGACCCCATCCTTCAGAACCCCATCTTGGAACCACCGATTTCGGGTGCCCAAGGTGAGCAGCGGCGCGAAGATCGAGGGGAAGCACGTCCGGCTGTGGCCGAAGCCGTGTTTCTACGGCGTGCAGTACAATCCGAAGCCTTCCGGTTGCCCCAAGGCTTGGGAGGAGGCGCAGGCGGGCAATGTGCACGCCAAGGCTTGCACCGAGGGCCTGGCCCATCACAACGTCTTGGAGACCCTCGAGAACAAGTCGTTCTATTGCTGCAGTTTCTCGTCCATCGACGAGCTGAAAGCAGGCCACTTCCGACTGCCTGGCGTCAACGTTTCTTGCTCGATTGATTTGGGTGAGACGTTTCCATGCATGGGCAAGTGTCGAAGCGCGGACGCGCCAGTCCAGGAGGAGATGCCCAACTTTTACAACCCTATGGCCTCGTTGACACTCGTCTCTTTCGACGATACGGCCAAGAATCTCATGGTTCGCGGCGCACCGCACTTGTTTCCTCTTGGGACTTTATTGTGTTTTCTATGCTTATACTTCGTATTGGCTGGAGTCACCGCAGGCTCTGCGATTCCGTCTGGCCTCCTCCTCCCCATGATAATCATCGGCGCGCTCATCGGCCGGATCCTCTCCTTGGTCCTCCTTGAGGTTCAGTATCGGTTGAACTTGTATTCGCACGGCAGCCAGGATGGTAGGGCTTCGGGCTACGCCCAAACAGCCCCCCCCCCCGAGTTAGTCTCTCGGGCTGGGCTAGGACGAGCATAATCCTTTCCAGGGCGCTCTGGAACGCTCTCAGAGCGTTCCAGAAGCGCTCCGAGGAGGCCGCGGCACCCGAGACGCCCTCCCGAGCCGCCGGAGGTCGGATTCCCGCTGCATCCTCACCCGATGTTGCCTTCGTCCTGGCGTCGTCTTACGCCTCGGCTGGCCTCAGCAGGCGCCCCGAGCAGCCCGGGGCGGTCTTCGCACGCCGACGCGAGGGCGGCGGAGCGCCCCAAGGGGCGGGGGCCAGAGGCGGCGCCCAAGTGGTGAGACCGCCCCTGGGGCCACTCGGGGGGCCCTGCTGAGGCCGGCTGGGACGACCCGAGGGACCCAGAGATCCAACGCACTGGAAAAATCAGGACGGCGGTTTTTCGCAATGCTCGGCCTCTGGGGGCCCTCGCCGGGCCGCGGGACCGTCAAAAAACGACCCAGGATGAAAAACCGGTCCTCCTCCTCCTCCTCCTCCTCCTCCTCCTCCCCCTCCTCCCCCTCCTCCTCCTCCTCCTCCTCCTCCTCCTCCTCCTCCTCCTCCTCCTCCTCCTCCTCCTCCTCCTCCTCCTCCTCCTCCTCCTCCTCCTCCTCCTCCTCCTCCTCCTCCTCCCGTAGTCATTTTGGCTCAAGATGCAGGTTTCCCCAGGGAACCAAGCGGATACCGCTAGTCCGCGGCTGGCAAGACTTCTTGAAGTCTGGCATCATCTCTGGTCCACCTCGCCAGCGCTCGGGTCGGTGGGTAAACGGAGGCCTTTCCCGTTCCTGTCGGCCCGATCGCTCCCAGCTTCGAAGCCATGGGCCCTGCGCGGGATGGCGCGCATGTGGGCGATGGCTGTGCTGTTGGCGCTGCTGGCCGTCCACCCTCCTCAGGCGGCTCCTCCTCGTCTTCCCGCGAGAAGTCCAGGAGCGGGGAGCGGCGCCGCCGCAGGCGCAGCGGGCGCTTGTCCCGCGACCGTGCACGAGATGTGGAGGCTGAACGTGAGGAAGCCAAGAGGGCGGCACTCGCTGCGCTCAAGGCCGAGGAGGCGGCCTTCCTGGAGGCGGAGGCTGCCTGCCCCACGCTCCCCTCGCAGCCTGCTGCGGCCCCGCACGACCCGTGGGCGGCTGCTGCTGCTGGCCTCGGTGCTGCCCCTGCGGGACCTGGTGCACAGCGGGCGGCCCCCTGCTCTCCTGTTGGAGGCATGGCCACGCCCGTCCTGGGGGAGGACCCTGCTGGGCTGGACGGCGCGCCGCCCGAGACCGCGGCTGCCATCGCCCACCTGCGGGAGTCGCTCTTCGCCGAGGTGCGCTCTAGCCAGGAGCGCCTCCTGCAGAACATGGACAAGAGCCTCGGCGGCATTCAGCAGGCGCTGGAGCGCCGCACGGCGCTCCTTGAGAGCAGGCAGGGGAAGGTCGAGCGTATTCAGCAGCAGCAGGAGGAGGACATCAAGAGGCTCGAGGACGAGATGCGGAGGCGACAGAAGGAGACGGACAAAATCATGGCGAAGCATTCTGCTGACCTGGCGCAGCTGCAGCGGGAGCTCGGCGTGGTCGCTGCTGGCGTGCCACCCCCGCCTGAGACGGGGCCTGCTTGGAGCCGTGCGATCGACCGCGCGGTCATGGTCGTCACCTGCAAGGCCCCGCTCATGCGTGCGGCGGTGGAGCGTGCCATGGCGCCCGTGCTGGGGGATGCGCAGCTCACGGAGGTCTCGAAGGTTGAGGGCGACGACTTGGGCCAGCGCTTCGCGGTCAGGATGGAGGGTGACGTGGGCCTGGCAGAGCGCAGGGTGCGCAAGTTGGTGGCCACGTTTCGAGGCGGAGGCCCTGGCGGCACCTGGCGTCAAGTTGCGGCCACGACTCCGACTGGCCACACTACGGCGCTGCCCCTCAGCAAGGACAAGAACTCGCGCCAGGTGTCCTACGAGATTACGCTCAAGAAGATGCGACGTGCGCTCGAGGAGGGTCTCTCGAAGCGCGTCTTCGTCGATCCTGTTGGTCCTGACCAGATGGAAGGCACCCTCTCCATGGCTTGGCAGCCCCTGGTCAAGATCGCGATCGAGGGCCCAGGTCCCCCACCGGTTGTCCAGTGGAACGCTGCCGTCCTTCGCCGACACCAACTTCCTCGTGAGCAGCTGGAGCAGATGGTGGCGCCCGTCCTGGCCCCGTCGACGGCGGAGTGGTGCCTTTGACAAGGCTGCGGCCCGCTGGGGTCGGCGGCGGAGGGATGAGGGCGCCGCTGAGCTTGGGGGAGGGCCTGGTCGAGTCGAAGATGGTGGTGCTGTGGGAGCTGGTCTTGGGCACGGGCATGATGATCCTGTCGGTCCGCGTGCTGCTGCGGCTGACTTCGCGCTCACCTCTGCCACGTGGAACGCTAGGGCGCTGTGCCACTTCAAGCCTGCTACGGCGAAGGCGAGGGCGAAGTTCCTTGCCAAGTTTTGGAAGCGCGACTCGGTCATCTTGGGACTTCAGGAGGTGCATGGCTCGCACATCCGCTTGACTGAGCTGCTCAAACATGCGGGTATTCGAGCCCGTGTATTTACTTCGTTCTGTGAGGGAGAACGTGAAGATACTGGCGGGCTGGCCACTCTTTTCCCTATGCGTAGGGCTGTTGATGATGAGAGCGTGGTGTGGGACTCGTCAATACTGGTGCCTGGCAGGGTTATGCGTATCCGCGCTAAGTTCAGTGATGACGCGGGGAGGCCTTGCACGCTTACGCACTGGAACATTCACAACCATGGCTTGGACTGCGGATCGCAACGACGCGTCCAGGCAAAGATCTCGGCTGACCTCCTCGAGGCCAAGCGGGACCCCGTCAAGGCAGCTGCACTTGTTGTGGGCGACTTCAATTTCGGCGACAGGCTGGAGCACTGCCATTTTGGCGACGACGCTCCTCCCCGATCTGTTGCTGCAGCTCGACACCCGCAAGAGCAGCGTTGGCAGCGCTGCTTGAGTGATGCTGTGGAGATGGTTGCCCCGTGCGCGACCCACTGGCATGCTGGCCGCCAGATTGAGACCAGGATCGATCGGGTCTTCCCGGGCGTTCCGTCCTGGCTGGTGACACAACGCTTCCAGCAATGCGAGGTGCTGGGTGAGCCTGAGGAGCTGCACAGGAGGGACATCAGCGACCACGCGCCTGTCCTGATCTCCTGGATGCGGCGCCCGCTGCGCCCTCGTGATCCGCTCAGGCCCGCCCCGGTCCCCCAGGACATTGTGAACTCCCCCGTGTTCAAGGAGAAGCTGGCCCAGCACGTCGAGGTGCTGGACCTGTCGTCGCGCGCCCCGCCTGACATGCACCAGGTGCACGCGCGAGCCATGCAGGCGGCTGCGGCAGAGACGCGCGATGCGCAGCTGCAGGGCATGGCATGGTCGAAGCGGTGCACGGCGCTGATCTTCAGACAAGTGGCAAGAGTGGTGGCGCGCCAACACGTCTCGTTGGCGGAGAGGCTCCTCGTTCGCCACACCTGGCTGGATGAGCTGATAGCTGTTGATGTGATGAAGGGCGTGGTGATGCTGAAGGACCACGCGGAGTTCCTCAGACGCTTTGTCCTGGCGCAGCGGCGCGTGGCCAGGGCCAGGCGCGCCGAGCTTCAGGCGGAGCTTGAAGCAGATGAGGAACAGCTGCGAGTTTCTGATCGCCGTCGGCTCCTTGGACAGCGCCGAGCCCTGGAACGTCGTGCTACTCTCTGGTCGGTTCTCCCGCGGCGGCACCTTGCGCGGCCGTGGGAGCCCCTGGCGGCAGGCTGCTCGCCTCGCCTGCCGAGGTCCACGAGGCGCTGGCGAACCACTGGGGCGAGGTCTTCTGCCCCCCCGCTCGCGCAGCGTGCCTGGCAGCGGAGGGCGACGCCTCGGAGCGCTGCCGACGCGAGCGTGACTCCAAGGCCTTCATCGCGAAGTACGGCATGAAGGAGGTTGACTGGAGCTCTCTGGCGCCTCCCTCGGCCATGGCCATCGAGGGGGCTCTGAGGCGCGCTCGGCCTGCTGCACCTGGGGTCGATGGCCTGCCCGCGCGGGCGTGGCTGTCGCACTCGGCGGGCTGCGAGGTGCTCCTGGCGGCTCAGAGATGGATGGCTCTGGGCCGTCCCATGCGCAAGGAGCTCAACATGAGCATCGCCATCTTCCCGCCGAAGAAGGTGCTGGACGGCGACGGCATGGAGGTCATCAGGAAGCCGAATGAGACACGTCCACTCATGCTGCGCTCCACGGGCCCCAAGGCTATCGCCTCTGCGGTGAACTTCAAGCTGAAGAGCATGATCGACCGTGGCGCCTCGAAGGCGCAGCGAGGATTCATCACGGGGCGGGACTTCCTGGAGGACCTGGTGGAGCTCGACGCCATGCCCCGCGTCGCCTCCATGTGCGCGTTGGAGCAAGCTCGAGGCTGGGAGGAGCCGACCCTCCTGAGCTTCGACTTCGCTCACGCCTTCCCGTCGCTCCTCCATGACTGGATGTGGTGGGTGTTGGAGGCGTGGACGGCGCCGCTCGGCCTGGAGCACCTGCTGAAGGAGTCCTACGCCAACGTCGAGGTCGTGGAGGCGGGGCCCTGCCACTGGGTCCTCTTCGTCATCTTGTGCGGGATCTTGCAGGGTGACCCGCTCTCGGGGACGATGTTCGCGATCGGTGCGCAGCCGTTCGTGGAGGCGCGCATGAAGCAGCTGGAGGCCAAGGCCCTTGGCCTGACTCGCTGGTGCGCTGATGACATCCAGGCCCTGATCTTCTGCAGGCGGGGGCTCCGCTCACTGGCGAGGATCTTCCGCCTCGCGGAGCGCCTCGCTGGCCTCCAGCTCCAGCCCAAGAAGTGCGCGGCCGCCCCGCGTTGGGCTCCGTTCTCGGCGGAGGTGGAGGACGCGATGAGGAAGTGCCTGGACGAGGCCTGCGGGTGGGGCTCCTTCACCGTGGCCTCGTCGGTGGAGCTGCCGGGGTGCTTGGCGGGCCCTGGTGCATCGTTGGCGGCCCCGTGGGCTGCGCCACTCGCGCGCCTGCGTGGACGGGTCCTGGCACTGGCGGCATCTCCACTGGACATGACGGCCGCCTTCTTCGAGTACGGCCGACGATGCCAGCCCGTCCTGGCCTACAAGGCGCAGCTCTGGCCGATGCCGGCGGAGCTGATTGATGATGAGCGCTTCCTGCTGTGACGGCTCGCGAGGTGCTCGGGAAGCTTGTTCAAGAAGAACACGTTCTTCGACTTGGAGACGCTGGGGGGTCCAAGATGCGTGCCCACGTCGGACCTCCTGGCGGCGTCCCTCATGCGTTCGGCCCTCTCGACGCTGGAGACATGGCGTCGGGCCGCTGCGTACCTGAGTGAGGTGGCCTCCCGCAGGCTGCCGATGGTGCGATGCATGTCAGGCCAGCCCTGGCCTTCCTGGTGGGAGGCGCCCGCCCCCGCAGTCACGCTGGCGCGTGCGGAGGTGGCGGGGCGCGAGCTGCTCGAAAAGAGCGGCGCTCCCCCTCTCCTTCCCTCTAGCCAAGGTGGGGCGGGTCGGTGGGAGGACGGGCGGAGGAGACGACTGCAGCGTGAGCTTTTAGTGGGCCTGCGGGCCTCCAGGGATGGGAATCTGCGGGGCCTTGTCTCGGAGAGGCTCCCCAAATGGTTCGGAGTGCCCCCCCTGGAGGCTGCGGCTGTAGTGTGGCATGACGTGGAGCAGGTCCTGATGCGTGCGCCCCCGAGCTGGAGGTGTGCATGCATCAAGACCTGGCTCGGGGGCTGGGTCACAGACACCCGTCTCCAGAATCGAGACCGTAGATGCTGCCTGGGTTGTGATGCTCCAGATAGCCTGAAGCACTATTTCTGGTGTCTGCACTTTCGTGAGCTGGTGCGGGTGGCCCTTGGTCGTCCGTTGCCCAGTGATCCACTCTCTGCCCTTGCCCTCGTCGTCCCCACGCTGGATTCGGCTCGAGGAGTTGCGTTGATGTTCCATTTGCACCGCCTTCTCCACCTTGAGAAGCGCGAAGCCACCAGAGGGACGGTCCCTGCCTCGGTCGCCCGCTCGATCGCCAGGGCTGCGCGTCAAGCTGTGGACCTCCCTGCTGGAGGCAATTCGGCCCGACGGGCCCGTAGGGTGGCTAGGTAAGGAGATCTGACTTTCCTGAGGACGGTCCGCCTCCTCCTCCTCCTCCGCCTCCTCCTCCTCCTCCTCCTCCTCCTCCTCCTCCTCCTCCTCCTCCTCCTCCTCCTCCTCCTCCTCCTCCTCCTCCTTGAAATCACGACCTCGGATCTCTGGGGAGGTGTCTGTCGGATGCTGAGCGAAGTCCTGCGCCGCAGACGTGCCCCCGCGCCGTCTGCCCCGACGCGCGGCCTCGCGCCTCGGGGAGGGCGCCTCGAGCACGAGCCCCCAACAGTGACACGTCGATGAGTGAATTGTCCGTTTTCGGTTCTCGAGAGGGCGCCGCGGCCGTTGTTTTCCAGGTTTTTGCGCCAGCCAGGTTTGGGCCTCAGGTCGTTTTCACGAAACCACGTTTGACTAAAGGGGGGTCTGTCCATCCCCGAATATTGGCCCTGCCGCGCCGCGACGTGTCGATCTGTGGACTGGTCGCGGGTGCCTGCGCCCCGCCGGCGATGCCAACCAACACCGAGTCGGAGGCAGGGTGGCGCGTTGAACGTTTCGCCGGCACCCCGGTCGCGCGGGTGGTGCAGGAGTTTGTCCACCAACCGTTGCGCAGCCCGAAGCCTCACCAAGCGAGGATGTGAGCATGTGGTCGCGGGAGTGGCAGCCGTTTTTCCACTACATGGGCGGCCCCTTGCCAGACACCGTGCCCTTCGCCACGGAGGGCTGGCTGGACCCAGGCGTCGGGGCCTTGGTCGGCGCGGCCGCGTTCCTTGGCGGCTGCTCGCGGATAAGCCTAATGACCACGGCGATTGGGGGCAACATAGGTCGGGTGCGGCAAAGAGGGGGGTGATGACTAGGGCGGGGGTGGATATCATGGCAGGGGCCATGATATTTCCCCTGATTTCATGGCGCCTCTTCTAATTTCAATACGTCCCAGCCCCCCCCTGGGCAGCGCACATGCCGCTGGCCATGATTTGCGCCCCCCTCTTGGACGCCCCCGAGTTTGGGCGAGGATAGGCTCAAGGGGGGCGAGGGGAGGGGCGAGGTTCGAGGCTTTCGGGCGTGCTCGGCCATACCCGGAAGCTGTTCTGCCTCGGGATGTGTTCCGGTTGCCGCGCCTCGCCGAGAGCGATCTGGCACCTGGATCGCCCCGAACGACCGCCGGAGAGCCAAGCGACAGTCGGACCGAGGTAGAAGGCCGAGGTCGGTTCGGGGAGGGTACCCGGATTGCCTTCGTGCTTGTTGGGCGTTCTTGGGCATCCTGGGGAGCGTACCCTCGGATGCACTTCAGTTGGGCTGGCGGAGGGTCTCCTGCTCTCGAAGGACGCTCTTCTGCCCGAGGTCCGACTGGTATGACCCGAAAGCTATGAGGCAACGCTGGGTGGGGGGCAGGCTCCGCGGGGGAAGTGCATCGACCCCCAATCGCCCGTGCATCGCCGACAGGGGGCCCGCCCGCTGGCCCAGCCTTCCTGCCGAGGAGCACGCGGACCTGCCCTCGGGGCCCGCCGCCGACCTGCCTGCGACGCACCGTCGGCGCCGGGCCGATGCTTCTCGCCCGGAGCCGGTGCCCCCCCCAAGCCTTGCCCCCAGTTCCCAGAGATCCAACGTATGGAAAAAATCTAGACGGCGGTTTTTCGCAATGTTCGGCCTCCAGGGGCCCTCGCCAGGCTGCGGGACCGTCAAAAAACGACTCAGGATGAAAAACCGGTCCTGGGGAATGGGTCGAGACTTTCGGGGACCCCGTATTGAAAAAAATGACGACATCGGATCTCTGGGTTTGGATGCAGTTCATGCCGGTGCCCCCCCCAACCTTGCCAGTGCCGCCCCCGAGCCCCGAGCCCCCCCCCCCAGCCGTGAGCCCTGAGCCGGTTGGACCCAGCCCTGAGCCGGTGCCCCCCCCCAACCTTGCCCCCAGTTTGGATGCAGCTCATGGAGATTTGAATTCAGCATCGGCGCTGGCATAGCCGTGGCCGAATGCCGGCCTAGTCTGGCACAGTCCCGGCTAATGCGGCATAGTGGCCCCCTAATCTGGCCTCATTACCTTCCGTCATTCCCACGAAGACCTCCCAGGAGTTGACTCCTAGCCCGCAGGTGATGATGGTCGAGATCACGGGGGATCCCGTGATGATCGCCCCGGTCGGCGTGGCGACTCTGGTGGCGGTCGTGGTCGGCAACTGCTGGAACCACGGCCTGTACCACTCGCTCATCGACGTGGCGTCCTTCCCCTTCCTCCCGAGCAGGTGGCCCAAGGGCATACAGAGGATCGAAGAGAAGACAGAGCGGCATCACCACTGACCCGCGACGCCCCGCGCGGCTGCACTGCATCGGCGGGGGACCCCCCTGGCGGCGCCGCCCCTGGCGCGCTCCAGCGCGCCAGTCGAAGGGGGGCCCGGCGCAGATCCAAGAAAGCAACGCGGGGCTCAGAGAGCTCATGCTGGCGTTTTCGTCGGGCCTGTCCCTCTGCAGGAGGAAGATCCCAAGATTGTCCAGAAATAGTCGGGGGACGATGTTTTGGTTACTTGTTGGGCATTTTGGGGGGATGGGTTCTTTTTCGCCCGTAGTCCCCCTGCAGGGGGACACACGCCCGACCTCAGCTTGCGTTTGGCTCCTCTCGCAGGAGCCTGCGGGTGGAGCACCTCCTGCAGACGCAGGGCGCCCCAGTGGCGAGCGTGCCCCTCACCGCCCAGAGGACCGAGCTGCGGGCCGCCCTGGACGGCCACGCCTTCTCGGGCTTCCCCGTGGTCGGCCCCGACGGCGCGGTGGTGGGCCTCGCCACGCGCGGCAACCTCGAGAAGATGCTGTCCGAGCTGACCGACACGGTGGACGTGGGCAGGACCACCGACTTCCACCACGTCACCATCCAGGCCCGCCCGGCCGCTCCCCGTGGCGCCCCGCTCCGAAAGGGGTCTGCCGGCGCACCCGCGGGGTGCTCGCGGCGGGGACCCCGCGGGTCGAGGGAGGGGTGCCGTGGGCAGGGCGGCGCTCTCGGGCGCTCCTCGGTCTGCGAGGCCCGTCGGTGTCTGCTCCAGGGCTCGGAGGGGTCCCAGGTGTCGGAATGCCCCAAAGGGTCAGGAGGCCACGCGTAAGTCGGGCCTGTCCCTCCACGGGAGGAGCATTCCAACGTGGCATTCAAGAAACAGTCCGGGGACGCCGTGTTAGATATTAGTTTGCTATATTTGAGAAGTTGCTGGCTGTTTTAAACTTGTCCTCCAAAAATCCGCCTGTGGGAGGACATGCCCGACCTAAGGCTACGGCGTCGCGACGCAGATTGAGTCCCTCTCTAGCGGTTTCTGATAGCTTCGGGGGCCTGGGAGGCCCTCCAAAATAGCCAGGAAATCACGTCGTCGCGATATTCCAGGTCCCCTGATCGATGACTCCCAGCGTCGCTGGACTCCTACACTTAAGCCGCTCATGAGTGTCGAAGTATATTTGCCAGCGTGATACCAATCAGAGTATGATTGCACAAAGGATGTGTACTGTGTGGTGGTGCGTGGTGCAAGCTATGTGGTGCAAGATTTGGGTGAAAATAATGTTGCCACTAATGAAATGTCAACTCCAATGATCGCACAAACATCACACCCTCCCACCCACATCTTTCTTGACAAAACGCATGGCCACGATTGCGGTTCCCGATTTGAGCTTGCTCGCGCGTCTCTACGGCCGCGCTGTGCACGCTCGCGCGTAGAGCGACCAGCTGTGTTGGCGCAACTGGTGCGCCCGCGATGTCGCTTACCGATGGGAACTTCCCAGCGTGTGGCGCCGCGGGCACTTCAGTGTTATTCAGTGACTGGGCAAGCGCGACATCATGATGACGTCGACAACGGCGGCAACGATGATGAGAATAGCGATGGTGGTGGCGATGATGACGATGACGACGACAAGGCCAATGGCGGTGCCCATGCTGGTGACGACAAAAACGATGCTTGTGACCATTTTTGGTAACCAAGTTGATTGTGATGTTGATGGCGGCAATGGTGCCGATTGACGATGACGGTAGCGGCGGTAATGCGATAGATGAAGAAGCGCGCAGAAGCTCGACCAAATTGGCAGACAGGTTATTTGAAAACATGTTGCGATTCATATGTGCTTGAAGAGCTCTATCTTGCAATGCTTCGAAAGCCATTGCTCTGGACGGATTTCGACAACGCGCGCGTGACGACACGTGCATGGTGCCCTCCTGGGGTCTCCCGCAGGCATGTCGGAAGTTATCGCCGACCACCTGCGGATACCTAGAGCAATCTTGGAGGCCATCTTCGAGCATCGGAAGCCCTCCCGGACCCGTCTTGGGCGGTCTCGCCCCTCGCCCCCTCCCCCGCCCCGCCCAGGCCGAGAGGAGGAGGGGGAGCGCTGCCGAGCTGCCCCAAGCCGAAGGCCGCGTCGCTCACTCCCACCTGCCCTGCCAACGCCTTGGTATCGCTCGGACGTGTGCATTTTTTTCGGTGAGGACCATCGAGGAGCATCCTTGATCACTTGGCGAAAAAACCACGCACGAAACTGAAAAAACACAGGGAATGGACGTCCAAGCGATGGCGAGACGCTCCCACTGAGGTCATGAGTCCCGTCGGAAGCGCAGTGCCGAGCATTCATGTATCAGGCGATCGCAGGCATGGATCAGAGGAGCGTGGATTAGCGTCGGGTCCCGTTTCTATGGGAAATCGCGGGTTTCCGCCGCCGAACGAGGCGGCACCGGCTGTGTTTTGGGGAGGGCACCTCCCCCGATCCATGGATTTGGCGACGGCGCGCCAAGTGGTGGATCCTGAAGCACCATCACAAATTCACAAGTCGTTCTGCCTTGAAGCAGCTTGTCCAGACAGAATGCGGAGCCAGCTTTTCTGTTCCTCCGATGTCCTGGCTTACGTTGTGTGGTGTTGGGTTTGGGGGCTCCGAGGATGGAGGCTTCAGATTACTCAGCGGAAGAATGCGGCCACCGCAGCCGTCCTTGTCGAAAACCATTGCAAAGTCTTCTTGGGGCGCCCGCGCGCGGTCCAGTTTTTGGCGCAGGGTGTATTTTGCATGTCGCCTTGACAGGGATGGTAGGCTGCGTTCTGGTGCCCCTCACATTCCGCTCGGAATTGTCTTCGCATGAAGTTTCCTGGCCTTCTGTAGTTTATCATGCTCTGCCGATGCGCCGTCTAGGCGCCGCTTCTTCCTGTCCTGTCATGGTAGGCCTGCGCAGAGCGGACAATACGAGGACACCCCCGCCGCCCCTGCCGACAACCCATGCAAAGTGTGCACGGGGCGCCTACCCCTGGTCCAGATGTTGCCGCAATGTGTGTGTGTGTGTGTGTTGTGGGGAGGGGGTGTACATCAATCAGGAACTGGCAAGCCCATCCCCGAAGAGGAGAAGACAGACCACCTCAGCCCAGAGGGCTGAGGTGGGATGTCCTTGGAAGCTCATTGAAGGCTTGTTGGTGGCCTGCTGGGGCCCTCTTGGCAGATCGCGGTTGCTATTGGAGTAATGGTTCTACCGAGCTGTTCCAAACCGGATCGGTAGACCCATCTCGGGACCGCTTGGACGGACTTTTGGGCCGTTTTGTGGCAGTCTTGGGCCGCCTGGGTGGGGCTCACGCCGTCTCGGGTCGTCCTGGGGCCGTCTCGGAGGTGTGTCGGGGCCGGCTTGGGGCTCTCAGAGGCTTTCTTGGCGCCATGTGGGACAGAGAAGCGTGATATGTTGAAAACACTGCATGTGTTGTTGCGCTCACTCATGTCAGTCTCCCGAGGCCTTCCTGGAGCGCTCCTTGGGCGCCTCCTGGGCCGTGGTTGGGTCTCTTGGGGGCATATCTAATATGGGGGGTCGTTGAGCTATTTTGGGTCGGCACAGGGCATCTTGCAGCCGTCTTGGGCGCCTACTGGCCCGTGTTGCGACCGTCTGGAGGCCGATAAGAGTGCTGGAGAGCTAAGTTAGCTAGGGGGCGCTTTTCGGGGAGCTTGTACAGGGAGGGGTTGGGATTGGGGGAACACACAGAAACCCTACCAAGCAGCCAGCAAGTATTCTAGCACGCCCTAACGTGCACAGGGCACGTTGGAGGATAGCATTCTCTCCTTCCGTCCACGGCAGGCACGGAAACAACCTTATGCAGCAAAGATGGGCATTTGGAAGGGGAATGGCCTAAGGAGCGTTTCACATCAAAGACCGCAGGGTCGTCGGAGCCGCTCCCACAGGCCAGTCTACCGTTGGAGGTCGCTTTCAACCTCTTTAAGCAGATGGAGCTCGCCCACATCACCGTGGTCGACAGCAATTACCTCCCCAAAGCCGTGTTGACCCGAGGCTCTCAAGGGGTGGGCGTTGAGCATTGTAGAGCACGGTTATCCGCCTGGGCGGGGGGGGGCGGCCTAAGAAAATCACATCCCGTGGCTCGCAGCAGCCAAACCTTGGTCGGCTTCCGCTGAGCGCTTGTGAGGCACAACGTTTGTCGGATGTGCACCTTGGGTCTCATTTACAATCAACCCGCTTAGCAACCTTCCAAGGTTACCTTTGCATCCTTCCCCTTCGGCCCATCCTTGGTCGCCTTCGCTGGCCGCGCCTCGCCCGCCGAGTGTCGACATGGCCTTCCAAGGCCCTTGCATCCTCACTGTGCGTCCGCACTATACTGGCTGACAGTCGTTGACCTCTAGACAGAACTTGAAATGGCCGCTGCGCTGCCCCTGCGCTGCCGCGCACCGTTCCGACACCCTGCCGGTGGACACCGCGCGCGCGTTGTGCAGATTGCGCGTGGGGCGGCCCTTGGCCACCTCATCCGAAGGATGCTGCGTCCATACGGAAGAAGTCCATACGGAGTGCTCGGTCCCCGTCTGGGCTTTCTTCGTCTGGGCCTGGCCGCTCCTGAGAGGAGGCCAGGTCCAGCAGGAGTAAGTCCATTCGGAGTGTTCCGTCTCCGTATGGGCCTACTCCAACTGACCGTAGCCTCGCCTGCTAGGAGGCGATGCCCACACGCAGCAAGTCCATACGGAGTGGTCGGCCTCCGTATGGGCGACCGGGCGACCTCCGCCTGGAGTTAGCCTCTCTGGAGAGGAGGCCCACCCATACGGCGTGAGTCCAGGCGGACTGCCCGGTCTCCGTGTGTGCTAACTCCGTCTGGACTGGGAAGAGGTTCAGTCCACACTGAGTGAGTCCAAATGTAGTGCTCGGTCTCCGTATGGGCTACCTCAGTCAGGACTGAAGCCTCTCTTGAGCGGAGGCTCAGTCCATACGGAGTAAGTCCATACGGAGTACTCGGAGTGTTCGGCATCCGTATTGGCTTACTCCGTCCGGAGCCTCTCCTGACAGGAGGCTAAGTCCATACGGAGTAAGTCCATACAGAGTGCTCAGTCTCCGAATCGGCTTACTCCGTATGACCTTCGCCACGCCTGAGTAAATCCATACGGAGTGCTCGGTCTCCGTATGGGCTTACTCCGTCTGGACTTAGCCTCTCCTGAGAGGAGGCGAAGTCAATCGGAGATTGGCGGGTGAGATCGCAGTGGAACGGAGAGCCCCCCACCTGGAATCGGTTTCGGTTTCGTGTTCGTGTCGTGCGTGAGGGCGAGGCGAAGTTGCGTAGGCGCGCAGGAGGAATGATCCCTCCGTCGCTAGGGCTTTTCGGATGCAAAAGTCCGGCCTTCCGGTGGGCGCGCGGTGGCTGGGGGTGTCCCGCCGCGGTGTCTCACGGTGTCCCGATGGTGCCCCGCGGCGTTTCGCCGTGGGCGCGCGAGAGGAATGATCCCGCCGTCGTTGAGGCAATTCGGATGCAAAAGTCCGGTTGTTGGGAGTGTCCAGCCGTGGTTTCCCGCGTTGTCTCGATGGTGTCCCGCGGTGTCCCGCCATGGTGTCCCGATGGTGTCTCGCGCTGTCCAGTGGTGTCCCGTTGTCTCCCGCGGTGTCCCAGTGGTGTTCCGCGGCGTCCCGTGGTGTCCAGTGGTGTCCCGCGGTATCCCGCCGCGGTGCCCCGATCGATAGTGAGATCGCACAGGTTACAGGGCATCTTCGCGAACTCGGGTTCTGGCGGCCCGCCGATGGCCCAGCCCAGGCTCTGGCAGGTGAGCTGCTCGGAACGAAGACGAAACGCCTGCGCAAGGCGTGCGCGGCAAGGAGGCGCTTTTGCCGACGTGGCAAAGGGGGAGCAGTGCGTGTCCCAGCCCGGCCGCGCACGTGGTGAGCATCGGTCTTCGGTGTGGCTCTGCCACTGGTGCGGGCGCAGTGGCGTCCAGCATGCGGGCAGGCCGCGCAAGATATATGAGCGCAACCAGCTCGCTCTCCAACAGCAGCAAGCGCGCAGGAGCAACAGGAACGCTGAATTAGGCCCACGTTCTCCCAGGTTTTATGGCCCAGGCTATGCCAGGCTCTGTCGGGTTACGAGCCGTGTGGGCAGCGATTCGGTCACCGGGTCCGACGGGCTCGTCTTCTGGCACGCAGCCCACTTGGAGGCGATGGCGCGAGTGCCCAAAATTAGCCTGGCGAAGGACCCAACCATATGTAGTTGTGAGTACCGCAATTATGGGTATCGTATTCATGCGGACTTTGCCACTGTGGCTTTCGGTGGAGCTCCCTATGGGCCACGAAACGTTGTGCTGGGTGGGGGAGACGCATGCGTGCGGTGAGCTCTCCATGGGCCACGAAACGTTGTGCTGTGTGGGGGAGACGCATGCGGACTTTGCCACTAAGGCCTTCGGTGGAGCTCCCTATGGGCCACGAAACGTTGTGCTGGGTGGGGGGAACGCATGCGCGACCAGTTGTTACTGTGGCCCGTTGGGTGTTAGTGTGGCCTGTTGGGTGTTAGTGTGGCCCGTCGCGC